TATGAATGTGTGTGTATCTGTTTGTGTGTGTGTATCTGTGTGTGTGTGTGTGTGTGTGTGTGTGTGTGTGTGTGTGTATGTCACAGATTCAAGGATGGCTGTCCAGGGAGCCCCAGAAAAGGGTCCTTCCCATCACTTTAAAGGCATGAAGGATTGAACTCAGGTACCCATCCTATTTTCTGAGCCCAGAGCAATTTAAACTCCCTTGGAAAGAGCTGACAGAGAAAGAGAGGCTGGCCAGATCTGGATGTTTATTACCCTGAGAGCACATGGGAAGCAAGGAAGGGTCTGGGGCCATAGAGTAGGGATCTAATCTGCCTTTCACAACACCACACAAGTTAAACCCAGCACTGCACACACTCCTATAACCTCAGTGTTCCAGGGCCTGAAGTGAGAGGGCTGTGATGTGAGTTCAAGGCTGGCATAGACAACATAGTGAATGTCAGGACCCTGTCTCAAAAAAACAAAACACAGGACCCAGGCACAAGAGTGCATGCCTCTGGTTCCTTCACTGGAGACTGAGGCAGGAGAACCACCACAAGTTTGAGGTAAAAGGTGAAAGTTTAGCCTATGCTAATACAACAAGTTCCAGGCTAGCCAGGGCTATATAGCAAGGCCCTGTCTCAGAAAGCATAGATGGATGGATGGATGGATGGATGGATGGATGGATGGATGGATGGATGATGGATGAATAGATGGTTGATAGCTAAATAGATAGATAATAGGTAGATGGATAGATAGATAGATAGATAGATAGATAGATAGATAGATAGATAGACAGACAGACACTCGGCTATAGGGGTGGGATGGAGGAAGCAAGAACGGAAGCCACAGACAGGCACAAGGCTAGCCTAGGCTACATGAGACACTGTCTAAAAACAAAAAGAGGTGGCCTGAGCCAAGCACTGAGCAGAGAATGGAGTAAGTTACCTGACAACTAGCAATGGAAAGCTGCATCATGCAAAGTAATGGAGAGTGGGTCCCCAGACCGAGCCCAAACTCCCCCTCCCCCTGAGTCTTCGAGCACAGGGCCTGGGCAGGTCCTTCTACTGTTTAACTGCCCTCACAGGCCTCTTTCAATTCAACCGCCGACCCCCCAGTTCATCGAGCTCTGGGAGAGAGCGGCTCCCTAACCCTAAGCCATAAAGATCACAAGCTGAAACTCCAAGCAAGGTGTGGGTGTGGCGGCACCTGCCTCTAATTCCAACACTTGGGAGGCTGAGGCGGGAGGATTGCTGTGAGTTCAAGGCAAGCCTGGGCTACACAGCAAGGAATTCTAATTCTGTCCGAGCTGCAGAGCAAGACTCCATCTCAAAAGTGAAGCATTAAAAAGCCTGGTGTAGCGATTCACGACTGTAATCCCAATGCCGGAGAGGTGAAAAGAGGGGAATCAAGAATTGAAGGCCAGCATTGACTACTTAGCAATTTAGATGGAGTCCAGCCCAGGCCATGAAAGTGCAAAGCCCAGATTTTACAGCCCATACTTGACGGTGGCAACATCATCTGGCTGAAAACAATCAGGCCGTAAATTGAGCAACCTTAAGCCAGACTGTGTGTTCGAAACCAGTCGTCGCTATGACTAGAAATTTCCGTCAGGCCTCACCTGACTGTGGTCCTCCTGGGGTCACAAGCTCCTTAGCACGGCTAATCTCCAATCTGGAGTTTCCAGTTGAAGGCCGCTCCTAGGAGAAGTCCTGTCACACCCTAGGAGACACCTTTGCAGACAGAGCAGGGTTCCAAGGTACCTTATTTGCCAGTAAGAAGCAGCGGAGATTGGACCAAAATGTGAAATATGCAAGCACTTGGAATCAAATGGCTTAACAATCGTGTTTTTCCTGAAGCTTGTGTCAGTTTATCTCCAGGGGAAGGGAGTTTTCTAAGTTCTAAAGATGGTGATAATGCACACAAAGCCCTTAATGCAGAAAGCCAAACACCCCACCTCGTCTTTATCTCCTTCTGGAACAATCACAACCCAGAGTCTACCTGGTTTATTATTGCAGCCGAACGGAAGGCAGGGCCCGGGGGGTGTGGCTGGGTGGTAGAGCACTTGCCCGGCTTGCATGCAAATCTTGGGTTCTATCGCTTTGCGTCTTGTCTCGTCCACAGAGAACTAGTACTCCGCTGTAATAAAGCAAAGAAAGCCTAGGTAAAAGTTTTATCTTGACTGACTCTTCGACGCGTTACCTTGAAATAGAGCGAAAACATGGGGCCACCTCTGATTCCATTTCCACCCAGGTTTTAGACGAGGCAAAGCTAACAGACAGGGTGGACAGACAGACTGCTGTGGTTGCTTGGGGGCAGGAGGAAGGGAGGCGAGAATGTTATCTCTCCTGATAAGGGCTCTAGCTACAGCCGCTGTGTGCACTTGTCAATATTTAGAGAATGGTGCCCTTAAGCTTTAGGGGTTTCACTGTGTGTAAATTTTCGCTCAAAAACAAGCAAACCTTGAACTCTAGCTAGTGATGTGCATTGCTGAAGTGCTGGGGAATGAGGAAGCTGGTACTCCGAACTGACTGAGATGCAGGAAAACCCTCCTATGAACCGATGCATGGGTGATTAAAGCCACATACAACTGACAAAGAATGTGAGGAATCTACATCGTGGGCCAATGAGTGGCCACGGCACAGTTTTTTTTTTTATTATTATTATAACATTTGTTGATTGATTGGGGAGGTGGCGTGTGCCACTGGCACACATGGAGAGATCAGAGGGCAACCTGCTAGAGTTGGTCTTCTTCTACCCTGTGGGTCCTGGGGATCAAAGTCAGGACATCAGGCTTGGGCACCTTTTACCCACTGAGCCATCTAGCTGACCCATAATTTATCTATATACATACATACATACACACACACACACATACATACACACATATTTTTAACTCATTCACTTCGTTTCTTGATAATGTATCCATGTATATAATGGATAATTGTTACGTATATAATTCTAGATTCTGGCCACAGTCACCTTCCCACACTTTAACACTCCCCCACTCTTGTTGTTCTGTCTGTGTGGCCACAGGTTTGGCACTATTCCTTGGAGGCCAGTGCGTTCACCTGTGGGTCCTCAGCTGAAGACTGTGCCTGCTTCCACCAGTCACCTACAGTTATGCAGGGAGGCAAGGCTCCCCAATCCACGACTGATGAGTAACAAGCCCGGTCTTGCCCAGGCAACACTTTTTCAATTTTTTTTCAAGATTTGTTTATTTTTATTTTATGTGTGTGAGCATGCTGTCTGCATGTGTATGTTTGAGCACTACACATGTGCCTGGTGCCCTCAGAGGCCAGAGAAGAACATCGGATCCCTTGGCACTGGAGTTACAGACAGTTGTGAGCCGCCACGTGGGTTCTATGAATCGAACCCATGTCCCCCATGAAGAGCACAAAGTGCTCTCCAGCCCCTTTAGTTTTGTTATTGGTTTGGTTTGGTTTGGTTTTTCAAGACAGGGTTTCTCTGTGTAGTCCTGGCTGTTCTGGAACTCACTCTGTAGACCAGGCTGGCCTGGAACTCACAGAGATCCGCCTGCCTCTGCCTCCAAGTGCTAGGATTAAAGGTGTGCGCCACCACCGCCTGGCCACATATTTTTTATTGTGAGACAGGATCTCTAAGTTGTCTAAGTTGGCATTGAACTCACTGTATAGCCTTGACAGACCTTCCATTTTTTGATTCTCCTGCCCTCAGCTGGGGATTCCCCTTTTATTTGGATACAAAACTGTAGTTCTGCCGGGCGGTGGTGGCGCACGCCTTTAATCCCAGCACTCGGGAGGCAGAGCCAGGCGGATCTCTGTGAGTTCGAGGCCAGCCTGGGCTACCAAGTGAGCTCCAGGAAAGGCGCAAAGCTACACAGAGAAACCCTGTCTCGAAAAACCAAAAAAAAAAAAAAAACTGTAGTTCTTAGACCAACTACAGAAACTCTACAAGTTCTGGGTCCACTCACCCCTAAGTCTCTGTCCTCCTTTCAATGTATTCTTCCATTATGCTTTCAGGCAAGTGCTCCGATTGGACCTCTTAAAACATTTGGAACAGGGCTCAGCAGGTAAGAGCACTGGCTGCTCTTCCAGAGGACCGGGGTTCAATTCCCAGCAACCACATGGCAGCTCACAAGTGTCTGTAACTCCAATTCCATGGCAAAACACCAATGCATGCATGCACATGCACACACACACACACACACACACACACACACACACACACACAGCACATTTGAACCTCAGGGCCTTTGCACACGCTGTTCCCTTCTCTTAAGACACTATTTCCCACAGCCTTAGCCCTGTTATCTTCAGGCCTTCGCTCCAAAATTGTTTCTTTGTAAACACCAGGTCCTCTGTCATCACACTCACACACACACAGAGACACACACACACACACCTCTTTCCCTTGGGTACAATATGTCACTCCTTCTTACCAAGACAAGAAACTTTGTTTCTCCCAGTATACCTACACTTAGGATGGTCTCTGGAAGACAAGAGCATCCATAAGCTTGATCAGTTGATCAATTGATCAATATGGGAATAAATGAGCAAGTAACAACAGCTCATGTTTTTAATTTATACACATTTATATGTATAGATATAGTGTGTGTGTGTGTGTGTGTGTGTGTGTGTGTGTGTGTTGTGGTATATGTGTGTGTGTGTGCCTATGTGTGTGCCTATGCCTGAGTAGAATTCAGAGAATAACTTACTTGCAGGAATTTATTCTCTCCTGCCATGTGAGTCCTGGGAACTCACATAGTCTGACTCGGTAGCAAATGCCATCTTGACGGCCTCCTGCTCCTGCAGTTCAGGGTGGCATTAAATTCTCTATTCAGCCAAGGATAACCTTGAATTCCTGCCTCCTGCTTCCATCTTCCAGAAGCTGGGATTCCAGGTGTGAATCACCTTGCAGATCTGAGGGAGTTTTGTGCCTGCTAGTCAAGCCTGTTACCAACTGAGACATAGACACAACCCTACCATGATTTTCCTTCTTTCTTCTTTCTTTCCTTCTCTTTCTTTCTTTCTTTCTTTCT